AGACGGCGTGAACTTGAGATGGCGATGAGTGTATAGCTGAGGCAGCCTCTCTTGTGGCCTCATACGACCTGCAATGGGTTACGAAGTCGGTGAGGGGGGAGGCGGCGTCGAGGGTGAGGAGTTTCTGAAGCAGGTCCTCGTCACGTACACCCATGAGCAGGATCATCTTGAGCTGGATCTCGGCACAGGTTACAGGATCGCCTGTACATAGGTCCACCTCGGCTGCTAGGTCCTTAAGTCGTGCATAGAAGTCTGAGAATGATTCCCCAGAGGCTTGTTTGCAGGATAGCAGTTCCCTACGACGCAAGGCTTCATTGCGGAGGCCACGGAAATGACTCTGCAAGGCGTCTAAGACCTCTGTCACTGACATGGAGGAGTCAGGGGGAATGGCTAGCGTGTGCTCTAGGAGGCGTTGAACATCGAGGGAGATGCACGATCTTAATTGGATGAGTTGTTTCTGAGGGGGCATTCGGTTGAGGTCAGACATGACAGCAAAGTCTTCGAAACGACGTCGCCATTGACGGTATACTTGATATGTTGCATCAGATTGAAGAGGTGGGGGGCTGGTAACTGAAGACTTGCTGTGCAGGGGTGTGCTCGAGACGGCAAGCGGTGGAGGAGGCACGGAGAGGTCGACGAAAGTTGAGACTGGAACAGGTGGTTGAGGAGGCACTGAGGCATACCCAAGGGGGATAGGTGAAGAGGCTGAAGCTGGCGAATTGGTTGTGGCAGCTGGTGAAGTCGTCCTCATTGCCAGCAATTCCAATAGTGTCAGGAGTTTGTGGTTATCAGCTTGGTGTTGTTGTTGAAGTTGGAGACGGTAAGCTGATTCCTCTTGACGTCTTTGGGCTTCCTTCTCTTGGGAAACTTGTAGGAAGTAGATTAACTGACGTATATCCTGGCTCCCATCCTTTGAATTTGGCGCGCCCGGCGTGTGAGGCGTGAGGGGGGGTGGGGGGGTCTGTGAGGCTTCGTCTACCTCATAATCCTCATCTAAATTTCCCGGCAAATCGTCGTGGTCAGACATCTCGTGCTTGGTGTGGTTGCGATGGGAAAGACAAGGAGAATAAGGTGAAGTGCTATGTTTTCGTCAATGTACTTGCCTAAGTGTAGGAACTGGCGGGCAAGTAAAAGAGTACTGACTGTAATATTTGTGAAGTGAGGGGAGACGGCTGGCAGCGGTGTATCCCTCCGGGCGCCCGGGCCGCTGGTGGTGACTCAGTGTAGGGGAGTCAGTGGCTTGCGGGCCTGTGCGGGCGGGGGGTGTATGCCGGAGGTGCTGTCTTGGAGACTGGGCTGAAGGCGTTTCTGCTACCTGTAGGGCCGCAGAGACATAGCAAACAGACATGAAAGGCACTGCACTTCACTTAGGGCACTTCACAAGGTCACAAAGCACTGTAAATCCAGGGGCACTGTGGAGTATATCTTCTGGGCGGGAAACAGAGAGGGCCGGGAGACGGACTAGGCCGGGAGACGGACTAGGCCGGCTTTTGCAACTTGTGAACTGTCGTGTTGGAGCTACTCAACTGCGCCATGTAGTGGATGTAATCCTAGACAAGGTTCTTAAAACTCCAGAGCACGAGCAGTAGGTATATTCAATAAGTGTACAAGACTTGGCGTGATAGCCGACCGATACAGGAGCGGGCACAAGGGACCCCGGACCGTAGGTAGGCCGAGGCTGATCTGAGGGCTGTTGTCTAGCTGGGCGAGGAGAGTTGCTAGACATCACTAGGACAATAACTGAGGTCCTCTAGTTACTCGACTAGCGCGGTACAGACATAGTATATCGGGGCCTAGTGAGTGAACATAGGCATTAGACATAAGCATAGATATCAGACATGGTATAATGATATGTAGTAATACAGACATGTGAATAAATGGTACAATGAATGGTAACAGAGTCTTGGCGTCGGGCGTGTTCACATATCTATACAGAATGTAGCTTTTCCACTCGGGATGCCTCAGTATGTGCTGACAGCATTGCTGGGGTTATACAGGGCGGTATGAGTGCATTTATCCCATCTTCTTCCAAAACTTTCACATTACAATCATGGTTTGATCGCTCCTGCTCTCTTGCTTGCAGGGTGAGAGATAGGGCATATCGAACTATGAAACTATCTCCTTCTCCTATTACCCACACCTCTTTCATTACTTCTAGGAATCGTTGTAAGGCTATTCTTCGTAGGGCCAAGCGGAATTTTATTAAAAGAAAGACTGCTGTCCTGACTAATTCTTCCTCCAGTAAATCCTTCTGGTCCTTAGCTAAAAACATCTGTAACAACTTCTGCAAGCCTTCTTTTCCTCCCCTCTTCCGTCCCAATAACTCTATAGCCAACTCTCCCCCTGAGAAAGCCAACCTCTTTGGCACCTTATTCTCCTCTAATTCCACCTTAGACGATTCCTACTCTATCCCTCCTACCCCTGCACCTCCTACTGAACCTATGCACTTTCCTATAATCTCCACTTGTTGGGTTGCTGGTGTGTTATCCAGGTTGGATGTGAGTAAGGCGCATGGACCGGACGGAATACCCCATCGTGTTCTGAGGGAGTGTGCTGAAGCCCTGGCCCCTGTGCTTGCTCGCCTCTTTCGCCTTTGCCTCAAAACCAAAACTTTTCCTTCTTCTTGGAAACATGCCTTGGTTTAACTCATCCCAATGAAGGGTGACCATTCTAATCCCTCTAACTATCGCCCCATTGCTCTAACTTCATCCCTCTCTAAGATTTTCGAAACTATCTTGAACTCCCATTTTCTCCGTCACCTTGAACGCCTTTCTCTTTTGTCGGATCACCAGTATGGCTTTCGCCAGGCGAGATCTACTGGTGATCTGCTCTCCTATTGCACCTATCTTTGGTCATCCTCTCTTAGTGTAAGGGCGGAAACGATCCTCCGGCTAGTTACCGCTGCTAACTCGCTCGTTTGCTGGTGCAGACGACCCTTGGGGTGGTTGGACGGAGGTGATAACGGCAGCGACTATCTCCGCCACGAGCAGATACAACCCAGCCGCCATACCGTCAGTATCTAGCTACCCTGCTGTCCGTCAAATTCTGGCTGTGATCTCATCATAGGTCCTGGACTCGTGGGCTGTGTTCCCAGACCTTCACCTATCAACTGCCAACTCTCTGGTCATCTACCACTACCGCATACCACGACCATCAGTTCATCACATTCCGTCGGTGCCCCGGTGTTCTCCTGCCTTTTCAAGACGTTGCTGAGTGTGGAGTGAATGGACGCTTCCCTTCCCTGAGTGTGCATCACCGTGTTCCAGAACCTTCCCCCAGGGCCACTGCCGTAGGAAATATTTGTTCATTGTTTGATTCCATTAATTGCTGACTCCCCTTTATTGTTCGATTCTATCAATTGTTGACTCTCCTTTATTGTTCGATTCTATCAATTGTTGACTCCATTTAATTGTTTGAATCCATTAATTGTTGACTCCCATTATTTGTTTGATTCCTTTAATTGTTGCTTCCATTAATTGTTTGACTCCCGTAATTATTTGATGATTGTTGAGTGGTGTCAGAGTTTTGTGTTATATTTTTATAGTAAAGAGATGCCAATCTCTAACGGTTGTTTGTTATTCCTCGGAAAACCATGGTCCTTGACTTTCCTTTATTAAGATCCTGATTAGCCTGGTAAGGGATTTCTATCCCTAAGTCCCAGGCCTTTACAAGTGGCGACCTTGCCAGGATTGTCTCTGACCTTTGGTTTCTGAGGTTTAACATTCGTTCCGGTGTTGTTGTAAGTCGCCGTGAGCGCGCCACCTTGCTGTCTGTGGCCCGGAAGCAAGTGTTGTTCAGTGGTTATCCCTTCCTTCTGTGTGCTAATTTTGTTGCTCTACCTTGTACTTGGGGAAGTTAATTAGTGTTGGTTGGGGTGCACTGTGGATGCTGTCATAGCATATATGTTGTTGTTTCACCTGGTGCGGTTTCGTTACCCTGAGGTGATTCAGCTGGGCTGGGTGCGGAACGAGGTTCCCTCCAGTCGGATCAAATCATTTACTGGTCTGATTGAGCCACTAGGTGAGTTACCTTTGGCTATTTGCGGGGTAAGTTGTTTGTTTTTCTCCTTTGTTCTTGGCCTTTTGGATCATTATGTCTACTTTTGAGGTGTGGAAAGATCAAGCGGTGGCCCTGGGTCTGACAGGTAATGACATTGGTCAGTATGTGGTCACCCAACAGAATGCCGAGAGAGAGGAACGTCAGAGAGAGAGAGAGGCACGTCAGAAAGAGAGAGAGGAACGCCAGAGAGAAAGAGAGTTGGAGGAACGTGAGAAAGAAAGAGAGTTCGAATTAGCTAAGTTGCAGGCAGAAAGGACCTAGAACTGGCTAGGATTAATGCTTCAAGTAGACCAGCATCCTCTGGCCATATACAAGACAATGTGGTAAAACCCAGCTTGCCTGTGTACCGTGAAGGAGAAGACATCGCCTCCTACCTTGTTAGGTTTGAGCGGGTAGCTGAGCTGCTTGGTGTAGCCCCTGATAGCTATGCTGTAAGGTTGGGTAGCCTACTGAGTGGTAAGCCGGTAGAAATTTACACGTCCCTGTCTGCCGACATCACCCGAGATTACTTCTTGTTGAAGCAAGCTCTCTTGCGAGGATTTTGCAAGACTTCTGACGGTTATCGTGCTGATTTCCGCAGAACGAAGATTAGAGCGGGAGAAACGTACCAGCAGTTTTCGATTCACCTGGGTCGTTTATTTCAACAATGGCTGGAGACATCAGGGGTTGAAGAAACCTTTAAGTCTCTCTCTAACTTCATGATATTAGATCAGTTTTTGTCTTCTCTACCTCCAGACTTGAGAATTTTCGTCAAAGAACACCAGCCAGCGACGCTTGGAGAAGCTGTGCATCTTGCCGACAACTGGGCGTCTGCTCGCAACGCCTACCCCAAGTCTTCCCCTCCTGTGGTGAAGATTGCGAAGTCTCCGACTTCCAAGGAACCTTCCCCAGGAGTAGAGGGGAAAAGCTCACCAGCCGTGCGGTGCCACAACTGCGGAGAAATGGGGCACATTCGTTCTCGGTGTCCCAAGAATCCACGCGCCTTCAAGTCTACGGGCATTCATCCGCCCAGCTTCGAGGTCGGGTTCTGTTTCGAAAACCGAAGCTGTCCCAGCTATTGTGTCAGCGGAACTATAAATGGGTCATGGGCATCTACGATCATCAGGGACACCGGTTGCTCATGTATTGTTGTCTCTGAGGAAGCCCTGCCTGATGCTGATCTCTCCAGCTGCTCGAAGGTTAGTGTCACCGATTATTTGGGTCGCGTTGACCAGTTCCCTGTTGTTAGGTGCTACCTGCGTTGCCCCTATTTTACTGGTTGGTCTAATGTGGTAAGAGCTCCCATTAAATTTGCCAGTGTTCTCATTGGTAATGTTCCCGGTGTTCGTGACCCTAACGACCCGGAACCTTTAAAACTCTCCTCACCACCAGTCTCCTCAGCGCTAGTCTCTTCGCCACCTGCTGACGTCGCCTCGCCACCCTCGCATGCCACCTCCCCTCCAGCAAAGATCCTAGCTGTGGAGACACGGTCGGCGAAGGTGAAGCGCCTGCATCCCCTGGTTCTGCCGAAATTGCAGCCGCTGACTGTGACTCCCAAGGAATTTGCCAAGCTTCAAGACTCGTGTACCACTCTGAAGCGGGTAAGGGAGAAGGTAACTTCCGGGGAGGAGGATCAGGCTAGAGATGGGTCTGTATTCAAGTTCGCTCGTGTTAACGGTCTGTTACTTCGATCGTGTGTGTCATCCAAGCAACCAGCCAAAGTAGGTCAGTTTTTCCTTGTTGTTCCGGCTGATTGTCGTAACATCATTCTCACTGTAGCTCACGAGAGCCCCCTAGCAGGGCACTTCTCTCATAGAAAGACATTTATGAAGATTTCTGATCAATTTTACTGGCCAGGAATGGGAGCGGATATTAGGGCCTTTTGTAGGAGTTGTGATCGGTGTCAGCGTATGTCCGCCAAAGGTAGAGTCCGTCCTGTTCCTCTTAAACCCTTACCCATTATTACTGAACCATTTTCTCGGGTTGCCATAGATTTGGTTGGACCACTTTCACCCCCTTCCTCTGCGGGGCACAGGTATGTACTCACGTTAATTGATTTCGCCACCGGGTTTCCAGAAGCCTTGCCCTTGAAGGAAATTGATTCTATTTCTGTGGCCGAAGCATTGCTTGTGATCTTCTCTCGCGTAGGCATACCACGGGAAATTCTGTCAGATAGGGGGACTCAGTTTACCTCTCAGTTGATGGCGGAGCTTCACAAGTTGCTGGGAGTTAAGCCGTTATTTACCACCCCTTTTCACCCTAGTGGTAATGGACGAATTGAGAGAATGCATGGGCCCCTGAAAGCGTCGCTGCGGAAATTGTGTGCCGACAAACCCAGAGAGTGGCACCGGTATCTTGTCCCCACGTTATTTGCGCTGAGAGAAATTCCTAGCGACCGGACCGGGTTCTCGGCGTTCGAGTTATTATACGGCCGAGCCGTGAGAGGCCCGCTCTCGGTGTTAAGGGATCTGTGGGAGGACACCAGTATAGAAGACGACGAGCGGACTCACTACCAGTATGTCCTTGAATTACGGGACAAACTTTCACAGTGTGCCAAGATCGCCGCGCAGAATGCTGACATTAGTAACACCAAATATAAGGCCTATTTCGACGTCAAATCACTAGATCGTCAATTTATTCCGGGGGATGAAGTGTTAGTGCTCTTGCCTGATAAGAAGAGCAAGTTGCTTGTTTCCTGGAATGGGCCTTACAAAGTCCTAGAGAAGCGGAGTAGGGTAAATTACGTCATTGACGAACCAAAGGGGCCCAAGTTATATCATGCTAATCTATTAAAGAAATACCATCGCAGGCCCACCTTAACTTTGCTCATGTCCTAGATAACGATTCTAAGCTAGAGTCAGTCGAGGCACTACCCTGCGAGGAGTCGGGAATAATTCCGGCACCAGACTCGGATGATCTCGGTTGCCAGCTACCGATAACTCCAGATGGCATAGTAGAATCCCCTTCGACTGACGATGGGCCCGCACTTAAACCTGGATTGGAGAGGAACCAACGTGCTGACATTGAGGACTTGATTGCTAACTTTGAGGATGTATTCTCAAACGTCCCGGGATGCACATCCACTGTACACCATGACATCCTCCTCACAACCACTCAGCGTGTGCAGGCCAAAGTTTATCCTGTCCCTATTCATCTCCAGAGTTATTTTGAAGAAGAGGTCGACCGTCTACTTGAGCAGGGAATCATCCAATTGTCATCGTCCCCTCACTGCTCTCCGGTGGTTATGGTGCGTAAGCAGGATGGTACTTTTAGGATGGCCATTGACTACAGGGCGTTAAATGAGGTAACTGTCTTTCATGCCGAGCCCGCCTGTTCTATGGAGGAAGACTTGCACAAGTTCTCAGGGGCGAAGTACTTCTCGGAGCTGGATCTATGTAAAGCTTACTACCAGGTACCCTTAACTGAACGCGCAAAACCACTAACTGCATTTCCTACTCGTAGAGGATTGATGGAATTCTGCCGACTTCCATTTGGGCTGGTGACTGCTTGTGCCACGTACATCAGGCTGATGCGCCTCGTCCTTGCCGGTTTGCCTAGAGTTTCTTTTTATTTTGACAACATTTTCATATATTCCTCAGATTGGCAAGAACATCTTGGCGACGTTAAAGCTGTCTTGGAGAGGTTAAGGGGACATACTTTGACGATAAAGCCATCTAAGTGCCGCTTTGGATTTGAGTCTATTCATTATCTTGGATTCGTGCTAGATGGTCGGCATCTTCGTCCCCAACCTGAGAAAATACAAGCCCTTTGTGAGGTGTGTCCTCCTACAACTAAGAAACTCCTCCGTAGTTTTCTCGGTATGATCTCTTTTTATAAAGCTTTCATTCCCCAGGCATCTGAGTATACCGGACCCTTATCTGACCTGCTAAGGAAAGGCCACCGGGAGCCTCTTGTCTGGAACGACGACCTGCTGGCCAGATTTAATCGTCTCAAGAATTCGCTATCCACGCAGCCCATCCTCAAACTGCCTGATCAACACTTAACCTTCGTTCTTAGGACGGACGCCTCCAGTCATGGCCTAGGAGCCGTCCTCCTCCAATATGTTCAGGCATGTCCTCACCCAGTGGCCTATGCCAGTAGGAAGTTACTAGATAGGGAGAGGAGGTACTCCACCATTGAACGTGAGTGCTAGCCATTCTGTTTGGGGTTTTGAAATTTGATTATTACCTGAGAGGAAAAGAATTTATCCTTGAGGTAGACCACAAACCCTTGTTGTATTTAAATACATTCAAGGGGGCAAATGACAGATTGTTACGGTGGGCTTTAAGTCTGCAGGGGTATAGGTTTCGTGTGGTCCACGTCGCCGGAAAGGACAACCTTGGAGCAGACCTTTTGAGCAGATCCACTGTATAGCATTTGTTGTAAGATGATTATGCTTTGTGTACTAATCTTAAGTTTTAATCTACCTTACAGTAGATTTTTGTTGGGGGAGCAGTGTAAGGGCGGAAACGATCCTCCGGCTAGTTACCGCTGCTAACTCGCTCGTTTGCTGGTGCAGACGACCCTTGGGGTGGTTGGACGGAGGTGATAACGGCAGCGACTATCTCCGCCACGAGCAGATACAACCCAGCCGCCATACCGTCAGTATCTAGCTACCCTGCTGTCCGTCAAATTCTGGCTGTGATCTCATCATAGGTCCTGGACTCGTGGGCTGTGTTCCCAGACCTTCACCTATCAACTGCCAACTCTCTGGTCATCTACCACTACCGCATACCACGACCATCAGTTCATCACATTCCGTCGGTGCCCCGGTGTTCTCCTGCCTTTTCAAGACGTTGCTGAGTGTGGAGTGAATGGACGCTTCCCTACCCTGAGTGTGCATCACCGTGTTCCAGAACCTTCCCCCAGGGCCACTGCCGTAGGAAATATTTGTTCATTGTTTGATTCCATTAATTGCTGACTCCCCTTTATTGTTCGATTCTATCAATTGTTGACTCTCCTTTATTGTTCGATTCTATCAATTGTTGACTCCATTTAATTGTTTGAATCCATTAATTGTTGACTCCCATTATTTGTTTGATTCCTTTAATTGTTGCTTCCATTAATTGTTTGACTCCCGTAATTATTTGATGATTGTTGAGTGGTGTCAGAGTTTTGTGTTATATTTTTATAGTAAAGAGATGCCAATCTCTAACGGTTGTTTGTTATTCCTCGGAAAACCATGGTCCTTGACTTTCCTTTATTAAGATCCTGATTAGCCTGGTAAGGGATTTCTATCCCTAAGTCCCAGGCCTTTACACTTAGGGATTATGGGGAAACTTTTGTCGTGGCCCTCGACATCTCCAAAGCATTAGACAGGGTATGGCACAAGTCTTTGTTATCTAAACTTCCCTCTTTTGGTTTCTCTCCCCCACTTTGTTCTCTCATCTCTAGCTTCCTTGAGAATCGATCCATGACAGTTGTTGTCGAGGGATAAATTTTTCGCCCTTTCTCTACCAATAGTGGCGTACCACAGGGTTCTGTTCTTTCACCAACTCTCTTCCTTCTTTTTATCAATGATTCACTTCACACTACAACTAATTCTATCCAGTCTTACGCCTATGATTCTACTCTTCACTCTTCCTCACATTTTCCTCTTCCTCCTAACTCTCAAACTAGATCTGTTTCTAGAACTGATATCATTACTTCTATCAACGCGGACCTGTGCAGCATCTCTGAATGGGGAGATACAAACTTGGTTAAGTTCAATAGTAACAAAACTCAATATTTACCAATCTCACTTTGTAAAGTAGACGATCTCCCACCAATTACATTTCAGGACGCTATCATCCTCCCAAATTCTGAAATAAATATGTTAGGCCTCACCATTTCCTCCAATATGTCTTGGAAATCACACATCCTTAGTATAACTAAAGCTGCCTCCCGAAAGTTGGGAATGCTGTACAGATGCCGCAGCTACTTCACTCCTGAGCAGTTGCTCCAAGTATATAAGGGATTCATTCGTCCTAACTTGGAGTACTGCTCTCATATCTGGGGTGGCTCTTCTTCTGTCCAACTATTAGATAGGGTGGAATCAAAGGCATTTCGTCTTATTAACTCTCCTCCTTTAGTCGACAATCTCTCTCCCCTTTCTCTTCGCCGCAATGTTGCTTCACTCTCTCTCTTTTACAGGTACTTTAACGGCAATGTTCAGTGGATTTGGCATCCTGTGTACCGCCGGCAAGGCCGTGGGTTCGTAACACACGTCTTGCCCGCGGTGCCCACCATTTCTCTGTGGATGTCGGTCACACGAGAATAACCCGTTATAGTACCTCCTTCTTTCCTCACACAGCCAAACTGTGGAATGCTCTGCCTTCTTTTGTGTTTCCATGCTCTTACAATCTGTCTCACTTTAAAAAGCTGGTTTTCCGGCATCTTCGTGGTGTAGATTAATACAGTATAACCTTTTTTTCTATATTTTCAATTTCTTTCCGTTCTTTTTTTTTCGCCCCCCAGGCTCCGTTGTGGGTCGTTTGACCTGTGCCCGGGTGGGCTAATTCCCGTAAAAAAAAAAAAAAAAAACCTACGCACCATGCATCTCTCCCTTCACTTGTACGCCTGCCCACGCCCCGCCACACAGCCAATCCGTGCACTACAGCCCTGCATTTGGTCGTACGTCGATCATAAACCCACCATCGCATGGCTCCACAATTATTGGCCAACGTCGTACTTATCGTTGGTGTTTTTTCTTATATAGTGAGAGGAGGGCACTAACATTTAGACTGAACTGTGTTATGGTGATTGTCAAGTGATATATTCTGTGTTTTTGTGATTGTAAATTGCTTCACTTCTCTTTTAGTGAACATGTGTTCTGTGTGTGCTGGCCGATATTATAGTGCTTATGTTGTCATCCCTGGTTATTTCTTACAGTCCAGTACACTACAGGTTAATACTGTACATTACAGTAATATTTTCACTCAGTTAATGTGACTGTGAAGTGAGACATATAGTACAGTATACATGTACAGTACACTACAGGTTAATACTGTACATTACAGTAATATTTTCACTCAGTTACTGTGACTGTGAAGTGAGACATATAGTACAGTATACATGTACAGTACACTACAGGTTAATACTGTACATTACAGTAATATTTTCACTCAGTTACTGTGACTGTGAAGTGAGATGTGTACAGGTACAGTTCCCTTCACTAGTACATTTACAGGGGCTTGTCAGGTTTCGTGCAGTGATATAGATTGCAACAAACTCTGGTGTCACTACTGACCGCCGTCCGGTTCTTGGTCTGTCTTTCACACTTCCTGTGTTCATAAACAATAGTCTTACATGGTGTTGGGCTATTGGGGAATCTCCTTCTAAAGCTTTCAACACACCATTGATTCGGTACATTACTCGGCAATCTTCTGTGACGTTGCCAACACGTGCTGCGTGAAACCGTGGATGGCTATCGTTCTCCATTATACGACTATAAATTGCCAAACTTTGAGTCTGGGGACTTTTGAGACACCCTGTATATGGTTTATGCCAATAAAAACAAGTTTTTTTTTTGGGGGGGGGGGGTTGATAAAGCTGTCTCGCCTGGCATGGGGGACCTCAAAGATGTAATCTTGGAACTGGAAAACGCCGGGGTAATGACGGTGTTGTGCCAGAGTTATATGGTTGGTTACCTCTCCAAGCACCTCAAGGAGTATGCCAAGAAGCAGAACATCACCAACAAGTTTCTCCTGATCCTCAACTATGCACCTTCGCACCCGCCTGGGATGGGTGAGTGGACCGACGACATCGGTGTGATGTTTCTGCCCCGAACACCACCTCGCTCGTCCAGCCGATGGATCGCAGCGTCGTCACGACCATCGAGGCCGACTACTTGAGGAGGTTAATGAAGCGGCTTTTTGAGGCGACAGATGGAGAGGGAAAGGCGACCATCGAAGAATTCTGGCACGGCTACAACATCAAGCATGCCATACAAAACATTGAGAAGTCGTGGAAAGAGGTCACACAGAGCTGCACGAATGGCGCGTGGAGAAAAGTGTAGTCCTAGTGCGCGTGCGACTTCAGCGGCTTCACCGACGCTGTAGCCGTACGCCTCAACATCACCGGCATCTCCCAGGAGGCCGGCTTTCGGGACTTCGATTAAGAGAATGCGGTTGAGGTCTTGGATAGCCACTCTGAGGAGCTCAGCACAGAGGACCTGCTGCTCCTGGAACAGCAGCAGAGAATGGAGGAGTCAACGGGTGAGGAGGACAACCCTGCACCCACGACGCTGACTCTGAAGGTGTTGAGCACTGCCATGGACCACGTGAACACTGCCATGGATCTGCTGACTGAGAATGACCCCCAACATAACAGGAGTTCATCTGTGAGGGCAGTGGTGGTGAAGGGCATGCTCTGCTACATGGAGCTGTACCTTAAGAAGAAGAAGGAGGCGCGTCAGACAACAATCACCTCCTTTTTCAAACCCCTGCCACAGTCAGAGCCACAACCCTCCACTGCTGACACCTCTCCAGTCCCACCCAGGAACTTCACCCTCTTTAAAGCCAAGCCAAAGCCTACACCTCCAGCCCCCACTGTAGAAGACCCTTCTAGGACTCTGACTCCCACTCTCTCCATCCTCTCCAGACTCCCCAGAGTGACGTCTCCACTCCACCTACAAGAGTCCCCTTAGCCTCAAAGGGACATGTAATGATGACCAGACTTGTCAATTATGATGTGGTGAGTGTTGTTATCTACAGAGAGTAGTATTGCAACATTTTATTTGTCTGTGATACAAGTGTTGGGGGACTGGCTGGGAACGTACCCCATGCTATAATGCTCCCCATTTACAATAATTCACCTGCCGATGGGTATCTCCGGGTTTGCCTCTGTGTACGGTACAACCCGCAGTTTGCACCAGAGATAAAAAAATTCAAAGCGATGGATATCGACCGCCATTTGACGGATATCGTTAAAGGGAGTTATTTTGATCGTATATAGCGAGACGGTCTTAGTTTATGACCGTCGTTAAAGCGGAATATTGCCGATCGGGATATAGTACCTGGAGGTTTACCTGTACTCTTTTGATCCTTATATGTGCTCTTGATTGCTCTGGCAAGTCTCTGGGGTCACCTTCGATATTCAAAACATTCCTCGTGCATTCTCAGAGGCCTTTATAAACCAACAAATGGCTCCTTGGTCGAGCCTTCATAAACCAAC